GGGCAGAGCGGCCCCCCGGGAGGGGCAGTCGGCGAGGCCCCTCTGCAGGTCCCGGGGCGGCTGGGGCCGGCCTTGCTTCCCGAGGCGCAGAGCCAAAGGCCGGCGCAGCGGAGAACAGACGGCGGTCTGAATGTGTCTGAGGAGGGCTGGCTACGAGGGCGAGACGTCCAGTCGAGGGAGGTGGACGGACCTGCCGCAGCTGCGTATCTCTAAGTACAAACAGGCGCCCCGAATTCTTGACGCGAAGGAACGAGCCTTAAGTCTAACGTTTTGCAACGAAACGTGTAAGAGCATAAACACCCTGGCTCGAAGAGGAGCGCGGGAGGGCGGACGCTGCTGAGAGGCACAGGGAGAAGCGGCCGCGGGGGCTCGGGCGTGGTCACCGAGAGGCTGGGAAGCGCCCGCCGCTTTCGTCCGCCGAGCTGGCGCAGAGCGGAGCTGCTCCAGCTGCACTGGGGAGAATGCCCGCTGTCCTCTCCGGGCATGGTGGGAGCACAGGCCGGCGCAGATATCCCGAGGCTGTAGTCTTATCTATTGCCATTGAGTCTCTATTATTTTTTTTAATTAAAAAATTATTTATGCACACAGAGCTGGCTACAGGCCAGAGGTGCAGGGGCGGCGAGAGGCTTCCCCAGAGACAGAGTGGGGAGCAGAACAGGCAGATCGACCAAGTCCACTGCTGAGGGAGCAGCGGGCGGGTCAGGAGAGGTCTGCCGCGCCATGGGGTCACCTCCAGGGCAGGCGGGGATCGAACTCGTGCCGAAGCAGCTTCAGCTTCTCAGTGCAGTGCTTTAGCCCGCTGCGCCCCCAGGGAGGGCCCGAGTCTCTATTATTTTAAAGATTTATTTATGCACACAGGAGCTGGGGTGCAGGCCAGAGGTGGGGGGCAGGGGGCTGAGAAGATCCCTCAGAGACAGAGCAGAACACGCGGGTCCAGTGACATCCACTGCTGAGGGAGCAGCGGGGACTCAGGAAGGTCCACTGTACCCCAGGGGTCCCTCCCTGGCCGGGATCGAACCAGAAGCTGTGCTGTGGTGGCTGCGGACAGCCCCCCAGGGGGGCCAGCCTCTGAGTGTCTTTGACCCCGAAGTTATCCTAAAACAATAATTGAACAGGCCCTCCCCGGGGGCGCAGCGGGCGGGGGCGCAGCACTGCAGGCCCACAGCTTCAGTCCCCGCCCCGGAGGTGACCACAGGCAGCTCTCTCCGGCCGCCCGCTGCTCCCTCGGCAGTGTGCCTCGACAGTCTGCCTGTTGGGTCCCCACGCTGTCTCTGGGGAAGCCTCTCGCCCACCACACCTCTGGCCTGTGCCCCAGCTCTGTGTGCAGAAATAAATCTTTTTAAAAAAAAAGAACTGGACAAGGGCACAAGGAGGGGTGTAGGGTGGTCCCCCAAAAAGTATTCGAAAGTGAGAGATAGAAGAGGAAGAGCTAAGTTTCTGTCCAAAGCATGGCCCAGTGGGACAGCAGGAAACTGGCCATGCAACAGCCCAGCTGGAAATCTCCAGAGTGTTCTGTGACGCCGCAGGGCTGATGAACCACTTGTCTGAGGTGTGGCTGCGACTCTCTGAAATATGCGTCCAGCGGTCACACGAGTCTGGACAAACTGTCCGTGTGCAGCAGCAGCACAGTCAAGACGCTGACCGTTTTACCCAGCTGACCGCTTTACCCAGCTGACCACTTTACCCAGCTGACCGCTTTACCCAGCTGACCGTTTTACCCAGCTGACCG